CACCGGACTGTGTGGGACACCGGACTGTCTGGAACCCGGTCCGGACGTCCGGGCGGTTACCATGGAAATAACCATAACCAAAGTATCCTCCCTGTACCAAGCGACACAGTAACATACAAAAAAAAAACACTTCGCGCCGGTACTTCCTTCAATTTGAAAGTTATGGGTACTAAATCGCTGCAAAATACTTTAATAAAATAAAAAAGTCCGCGTACAAAAAATAAGCGTTTTTTTCCACCCCGACCTCCCCTGCAGAACAACAGAGGCAACATCGCACTCCCCCCCCCCCCCCCCCCCCCCCCCCCCCCCAAAAAAAAAAAAAACAAAAAAAAAAACTCCCACCGATATCACCACTGCCTCGAAATGACATACGAAAATGACAACAGGAAACTTTAAGACACAACGCGACAGCAAAAACGACAACACCTGCAAAACCAGCCATCAGGAAGCACACACGCCATCACCTAAACTGCAGTACTTACCACAACTCTCTAGCACCCCGCATAGCCCAAACATAACCAGCCCGCTACCCTTCATATACCCCCCCCCCGATAACAGAGATGGCAGCCTGCAAGCCCGGGTACAACACGACAGCGAAAACCATGATACTGGCAAATAAGCCACCTGTGCGCACACCGGCCATCACCACCAGGAGACAAAACACCACGCGCCGCAACCCTGGAGTACCCCACCCACCCCAACTGCAATCTGCTCACTACCCTTCTGAATCATCCCACGCATCCCCTAGGTACAATGAATAACAAAAAAAGAGAACCAACCTGGATGTGAAATACGCCCACTACCACCTCTACTCAACCTTCATTACAGAACCCAATACAACTTCCCCGTCACCCCACCACCTCTACCTCAATACAGGACAGATTTAATCAGGACTATAGCCGTGACACCACCCACACACACCGGCAAATACTTTCCTACCACACACCCTCTTAAATCCCCAATCTTCAACCCCATGCAACCTTCCCCCCTGCCCCCTACTTCAACACCCACAATCCCTGGCACACAGTACCCTCCTGCAGCTTGCAGGATTTCCCTCCAAACCGAACTCCCAACCAGCCCCTGCAACCTGCTCCTATGCTTCTTACACGCTTTCTCTCCCCCTCTCAAACTCGCCAATCGGCTAGAGTCTACCGGCCTATACGGCTGCCTTCCACCTCCACTCTACTTCCTCAGAAAGCATACTGTGCTCCTTACTCACCCTCTTGCTACTCCGCCCGTCTCTTCAAGCTTCTCGTCCCAGGGCACCGATCCTGCCGCTCCTCCCACGACAGATCAGACGGGCTTTTGCAGCACACGGTGCTTCCGAAAACGGAATGTTGCTAATATCGGCTTCAGTTCAGCAGAGCCCTCCCTCCCTCTCGTGGCCGCATTGACATGGCTGCACTCTGGTGCGCAACGTGACTGCATAAGCCCACCTCTGATCAGCTACTACAGTGATGGCCACCGTGGAAGATGCTACTTCGTCGCAAAACTTGCGCCTGAAGTTGATGTAATCCCCCCTCCCTTCCATTGCCCACGGCCTACCCTCCTCCACCTTTTTCTCACCTATATATTGGGAGCCAGGGCAGACCCTCTGATGAGCCGTTAAGGGTGCTACAGGACGAAAAGCGCTTCAGGGCGTGCACCGCCCCTTCCCAGCAAGAGATTGCTGGTAAAAGATAGCCTTTTGCTATCAATGCTCCCCCCCTCTCTCGTCTCCCTCTCTCTCCCCTCCAGGCCTCCCCC